TGTATGTGTGTGTGTGTGTGTGTGTGTGTGTGTGTCTGTGTGCGTGTGTGTGTGTGTGTGTGAGTGTGTGTGATGACTTACCGTGAACCAGACTGTATGCTGGCGTGACCAGCGTATCCCACAGACACACGTTCCTGTGACGAGAGAATGTGTTAGGATTGTTTTTATAAATTTACATTACATTTACATTTAGTCATTTAGTAGACACTTTTATCCAAAGTGACTTAACACTGTGTCCTAACTACACGTGACGCGATAAAATGTATCGTTTCCATGTTAATCAGAGGTTTTTGTCCTAACTAGCCACGGCACGCGAAAATTGAATGAATGAATGAATAAATGATGCATTTATATAGCGCTTTATTGTGTATTGTTGTACACCCAAAGCGCTTTACAGTCATGAGGGGGGGTCTCTCCTCAATCACCACCAGTGTGCAGCATCCACTTGGATGATGCGACGGCAGCCACAGGACAACGGCATCAGTGCAGTGTGCTTTTTGTCAGTATAGTGTCCCCGTCACTATACTGGGGCGTTAGGACCCACACAGACCACAGGGTGAGCACCCCCTGCTGGCCTCATTAACACCTCTTCCAACAGCAACCTAGTTTTCCCAGGTCGTCTCCCATCCAGCTACTGACCAGCTCAACCCTGCTTAGCTTCAGTGGGCAGCCAGTCTTGGGCTGCAGGGTGATATGGCTGTGGCTAAATTAAAACGAGTTTTAGATACGGTTTCTATTTCTGTGACGTCGCGGCTGGAACATTATACAAACTATATGATAGTAGATAATTTCAGGTAATTATGTGCTTTATTCAAAGTTAAGTGTGTCTAATGTGAGTTTGAATATCATATTGCGTGGCATTTATAGCCATACTGAAAGCAACAACAGATAGTTTACCTCAGATCTGGAAAATAAATAAAAGCAAGATGTACGATAAAACTCTGAACTCACTGTGAACCGTTGAGTGTATTCCATAACAAAGATGGTATTAGTCACTCAGTATGTGCATTTAATAATGTTAAAAAGGTTTGATATTTATGAATTAGATTATAAACGTATTCATTTCGTTGTGAGTGCAGAGCGCTTCCAGAGAGGCTCCGCCCCCACACGCTTCTGATTGGCTGTGATATTTGATTGACTCTGTTGTGTTTTTTTTTTTTAAGAAAACAAGCAGTTATAAAACAAATAGAGAGTGCTTGTGTCAGAGGGTCAAGTCAACAAATAAATAAAATAGAAATAGAATAGAGAGTGCTAGAGTTAGAGGGTCAAATAAATAGGTAAATGGGTGCAGAGCCAGTGGTGGTTTTGTAGGCAAGCATTAATACCTTGAATTTAATGCGAGCAGCTATTGGTAGCCAGTGCAGATTGATGAACAGAGGTGTGACGTGCATTCTTTTCGGCTCGTTAAAAATTTATTTAAATTTACTTGCTGCCGCGTTCTGGAGTAATTCTATAGAAATACATTTTCATAAATTTAAGTTACATTTTTCTGATTTAATTGTCATCTTTTCATGCAGTGCTGCTCAGGAGATGCCCGCGCACGCGCATGTGTGAGTGTTAGAGTGTGTGTGTGTGTGTGTGTGTGTGAGAGTGTGTGAGAGCGTGTGAGTGCGTGCATGTGTGTGTGTGAAAGTGTGTGTGTGTGTGTGTGTGAGTGAGTGTGTGTGTGTGCGAGAGCGTGTGAGTGCGTGTGTGTGCGTATGTGTGCGAGTGTGTGTGAGTGAGTGAGTGAGTGAGGGTGTGTGTGTGAGTGAGTGTGTGTGTGCGTGCGAGAGCGTGTGAGTGCGTGTGTGTGCGTATGTGTGCGAGTGTGTGTGAGTGAGTGAGTGAGTGAGGGTGTGTGTGTGAGTGAGTGTGTGTGTGCGTGCGAGAGCGTGTGAGTGCGTGTGTGTGCGTATGTGTGCGAGTGTGTGTGAGTGAGTGAGTGAGTGAGGGTGTGTGTGTGAGTGAGTGTGTGTGTGCGTGCGAGAGCGTGTGAGTGCGTGTGTGTGCGTATGTGTGCGAGTGTGTGTGAGTGAGTGAGTGAGTGAGGGTGTGTGTGTGAGTGAGTGTGTGTGTGCGTGCGAGAGCGTGTGAGTGCGTGTGTGTGCGTATGTGTGCGAGTGTGTGTGAGTGAGTGAGTGAGTGAGGGTGTGTGTGTGAGTGAGTGTGTGTGTGCGTGCGAGAGCGTGTGAGTGCGTGTGTGTGCGTATGTGTGCGAGTGTGTGTGAGTGAGTGAGTGAGTGAGGGTGTGTGTGTGAGTGAGTGTGTGTGTGTGTGCGTGTGTGTGTGAGTGTGTGTGTACCTGTTGTCTGTGGACAGGCCTGCAGTGGCGATGAGAGACGACGAGCCCACAAACACAAAGTCATTCGCCGTCTTATTGTGACACTGAAGCGTCTGGAGGAATAGTGCGCAAACACAGTTTGAGACACAATAAACATATTTAAAGATTGTGAACATCTTTACAGTATTATGAATAATATGAATAAATAGGAGTGAATTTACTAGATATTGCACTGAACAGTGATAGAAACTGCTGTGGTCTGATATCATATAGCTGGCAAAAGTTTGGAAGCATTATCATTTTTCAATGTTTCTAACGAAGTCTCTTCTGTTCACCAAGGCTGCATTTTTTGATCAAAGATACAGTTAAATTATGAAATATCATTACAGTTTTCTATGTGAATATCTGTTCAAAATATGCTGACTGGTGCGCAAACACAGTTTGAGACACAATAAACATATTTAAAGATTGTGAACATCTTTACAGTATTATGAATAATATGAATAAATAGGAGTGAATTTACTAGATATTGCACTGAACAGTGATAGAAACTGCTGTGGTCTGATATCATATAGCTGGCAAAAGTTTGGAAGCATTATCATTTTTCAATGTTTCTAACGAAGTCTCTTCTGTTCACCAAGGCTGCATTTTTTGATCAAAGATACAGTTAAATGATGAAATATCATTACAGTTTTCTATGTGAATATCTGTTCAAAATATGCTGATTGGCTCCCCAATTATGATTGTGTCACAGTTTCCACAAAAATATCGTGCAGCACAACTGTGTTCAACATTGATAATAATCAGAAATGTTTGTTGAGCAGCAAATCAGCATATTAGAATGATTTCTGAAG